AAAGTAAATAAATAAGCGGCTGAGGGGGGAAAGGAAGGGGCTTGAGGCTGTTGGGAATGGTGGGAGTTGAAGTCCAACACACCCAGAGGGCCCAGGTATGCCCATGCCTGGTTCAATGTCTTCTTCTCCAGAACAATCACAGCTACCACCTACCGTTACTTTCCTTCGGATGGTAAAGATGTGGATGTCCTCACTGCGGTACTCCTCGTCGTGCTCTTCCAAGGGAACTTTTTCCAACTCAAAGTCCTTCTGAAGGAGCTGCGATTTAAAATTGCATCAGAATCAAACGCTCTGTTTTTTTGGCCTCATTCTGGCGTGTGCCTGACTGCGGCAGGGAGGTGATGCTTGCACTCAGGACGATTTGAATTTGACCTGGATTTGATTGTTTTTCCAAAGTGGGAAGGGATTCCGGGGGTGGATAAGTTGAGTGTTATTTGTTGCATACAAGGCTGTCTCCAGTAAATGAAAACCATCAAAATTGCCCCCAGATTTTAAAAAATGGGATAGAAATTATAATCTTTGAGAGGGTTTGAGAGGTGAAATCTTAGGGAGAGTTTGAGAGGTGAAAGAAGTACCCACGTATCCTCTGATTAAAGGAGTCCACTCTGTTTGAAAGAGAAGACTGGTTTTTGAACACAACCTTTGGGGCCTGGAGCCTTTTTTTCCAAGAAGGGGGGCTTTCCTATGACATTTTTGTACAAACCTGGCCAAAGAGCTCACCTCAAAATACCTTTTCTCCACCTCTGGGTTTTTCCCCATGGTCCTTTCTTCATAGCAGCAAAGGATGCAGGTATCAGGGCCAGAGAGGTCCTTCAAGGTCTTGAGCAAAGGCTCCAGCGACTGCGCAGAAAAGAGGAAATTAGGTTCCTGACAGAAATATTAAAAATTAACTAGTTTTGGTTACAAAAATGTGAGTCAAGCACTGAAAGGGTTAAATGGATGCAGTGACCCAGAGAAGCTGCAATTCAACATAAGCAGGCATGCCTGCTGCTTAGTAACGCCTCAGTGTGAGAGAAGCATCTCTGTGTGAGAGATCACTTCAGTGGGAGAATAGACCTCTCAGCGTGAGAGAAGCATCTCTGTGTGAAAGATCGCCTCAGTGGGAGAATAGACCTCATTGTTAGTTGGCCTGAGTATGAGGTAGGCCTCATTATGAGAAGGCTGCTGTGTCTGAAACTCCAGTGTGAAGGTTGTACTTTATTTGTGTTATGGAAACAATGGCTTCAAACTACAAGAGAAGATATTCCATCTGAACATGAGGAGGAACTTCCTGACTGTGAGAGCCGTTCAGCAGTGGAACTCTCTGCCCCGGAGCGTGGTGGAGGCTCCTTCTTTGGAAGCTTTTAAGCAGAGGCTGGATGGCCATCTGTCAGGGGTGATTTGAATGCAATATTCCTGCTTCTTGGCAGAATGGGGTTGGACTGGATGGCCCAGGAGGTCTCTTCCGACTCGTTGATTCTATGATTCAAAAATCAGTTTTATAAGCAAGCCAGTGCCTTAAATCAAGAAATAGTTCCCTAAGATCTACAGAGATACTTGCAGGAACACCTCAGCAAGCAAGAGTCCAAAAGTGGCAGGCTAAAACCCAGCACTTCAATCTGAATGAGAGACTCCCCCCTGGGCACACAGAAGACTGGGCAACTTGCAAGGAAGGCACTGAAGAGACTGCGCTCTGGCACCACGAGGTGCAGAGCCAATCTTAAGAAATGGGGCCTCAAAGTGGAGTCCACAACATGCGAGTGTGGAGAAGAGCAAACCACACCTACTACAATTTATTTTAAGCATTTACGTTCCGCCCTTCTCACCCCGAAGGGGACTCAGGGCAGAGCACAACATATAAACGGCAAACATTCAATGCCGAAACATACTAGACCATACACGTACAAAAGCATTAAAATCACTTATCCTGATGTTTAAATCCACTGGTCTCAACAACCATATTGAATTTGGTTGGCATACTAAGGGTTCCTATCGCTGCCTCATTGCACAGCCCCAAAGGCTCGGCCCCACAGCCACGTTTGTATCATCCTTCTAAAATACAAGAGGGAAGGGACTGACCCGATCTCATGAGGAAGGGAGTTCCATAGCCGAGGGGCAATTACTGAGAAGGCCCTGTCTCTCATCCCCGACAAATGCGCCTGTGATGGTGGTGGGACCGAGAGCAGGGCCTCCCCAGAAGATCTTAATCTCTGCAGTGGTTCATAGGGGGAGATGCGTTCGGACAGGTAAATTGGGCCGGGGCTTTTTAGGGCTTTATAGGCCAAACCCAGCACTTTGAATTGTGCCCGGTAGCAAACTGGCAGCCAGTGGAGTTGGCGTAACATAAGAGTTGTATGCTCCCTGTATGCCACCCCAGTTATTGTTTAAAATAATCTTTATTAATTTTAATTAAAAACATACTGTATCTGGGTGGGTAGGTATAAGAAGGGGGGGGGGGGCAAAAGATAGGAATAGAAGGGGGATGATAGTATAGAGGGGATAGAGTGGGGAGAATGCTGTTTGATGGCTGCTAGAGATAAATAGTGTGCCAGGTGTAGAAAAGGAAAATTGGAAAGGTCACTGTGGGGGATGAGGGGTGTGTGATTGACGTAGGTCTGACGTTGACTTCCAGGTATCTTCTGGAGATTTTTCCTCTTCCTTCGTTCCTTCTTTCTTTTGTACTTCTCCTCTCTCATCTCTCTTCTGCTCTCCCCTGTTTGTTTTGCTTACGGCTCTTTCATGTGATTATTTTCATATTTTTTTCTTTTATCAAGTATGTTGTTACTTGTTTCCAGTCTGTTTCTGCTGATGGAGTGCCCCTTTTTTTTTTTGAGAGTATATAAGTTAATTTGTCCATATTTCTTATATCCAGGATCTTTGTTAGCCATTCCTCTTCCTCCGGAGGCTCTTTTTCCTTCCAGTGCTTTGCATAAATTATTCTGGCCGCTGTCGTTAAGAGGAATAGGATTTTATCTTTATTCTTCTCCATTTTTATGTTGTGAATCCCTAATAGGAATGTTTCTGGTTTCCAGGGTATATCTATCTTTAGCATTTTTTGTAGTGATTTTTGTATATTATGCCACCCCAGTTATTAACCTGGCTGCCTCTCGTTGGACTATTTGAAGCTTCCGAGCAGTCTTCAAAGGCAACCCCATGAAGAGGGCGTTGCAGTAATCTATCCTAGATGTGACGAGAGCATGGACCACCGTGGCAGCCTGAGCCCTGCAATATGCACAATGGAGGACCTTCTCACAGCCACAACAACAACAACAACAACAACAATCTTTATTTATACCCCGCCACCATCTCCCCAAGGGAACTCGGGGCAGCTTACATGAAGCCAAGCCCAACAATACAGCAATACAAATAAACCACACCAGAGGAACTCCAAGTGGCCAGCTCCTGGTCAAAGGACATTTAGTAGAATGTCAAGTTTTAACTTTGTTTGTCTTTTTAAATACATTGAACTGTACTCTCAATTCGCTTCTGACACGATAAATAAAAAGTTTGGGGGGATGCCGCAAATTCAATTCAGATCAACTGCCAGGTAGATTATTCCTCGTCTCCACCTTAAACGTCATCTAAACCTCACAGAAACTGGAAATGTTGTTCTCAGATGAATTATTCAAAGCTTACTGGCAAGTGGGATAAAAAAACAAACAAACGGGTATTTGGATGCCTGACGAGAAAGGAAAACAAGCAGGGGAGGGGGGCTGCACATGCTAGAAATCAGGATAGAATTCACATTCTTCTCCAGGTATGCTAAACGCCAAATACTTTGGCTTGTGCTCTGCTAGGGTTGCTGTGCATTTGGGATGCTGTCTGATTTCCGCCCTGGCCAGAAAGCATCTTCTCAACCCACAAGACACCAAAATAGAAGGGGAGAGAAATAAATAACTTACCTCTTCATAGTAGATACAGTCTGCCATCAGTATGTAGTCAGGCGGAGGAAGAAAATCTGTTACATCTTCACCCCTAGTTAGGAAACAGACATGGATTCATCTCTTGCAAGAACAGTTATTGATCCAGTACAGAGGCCTCCAGTGATTTCAACAGACTGTGGCTCATCATGCCCCATATTACCCAATGTTTGTGACATGAACACAGCCACACTGAAACATATATATTCATATATGCACCAGAACTGTGGCGTAGATGACTGGGAGTCAGCTGCACTAAGGTCACTACTGATCATGAGTTTGAAGCCAGCCTGGGTCGGAGTGAGCTTCCGACCAATTTGTGTAGCTTGCTGTCGACCTTTGCAGCCCGAAAGACAGTTGCATCTGTCAAGATAGACAATGCAAGCAACAGCTCCCCTGGCGGCCAGAAAAAGTTAAATATGTCTATATACATTGTATGTCTAATTGGCATTGAATGTTCGCCATGTATATGTGTATTGTAATCCATCCTGAGTCCCCTGGGGGTGAGAAGGGCGGAATATAAATGCTGTAAATAAATAACTAAATAAGTAAATAAGTAGGAAGTTTAGGTACCGCTTATGTGGGGAG